CCTGGGCCTGGGCCTGGGCCTGGGCCTGGGCCTGGGCCTGGGCCTGGGCCACCTCCTGCGGCCCCTCCTGTGCCGGCTCGGGTTTGGAGGAGCTGGCAGCGAGCACGCAAGTCTGGACTGGCGGGATGGTTTATGGGGTTTCTCTGAGAAAATTGAAGAGTTTATTACCGGTGGGTTAAGAAAGTAAACAGGACTACCTGAGATGGAACCGCGTTCACTTTATTTCTGGTGTATCTGACACACAACACTATTCTTGGTAAAGCCCCAGCTTTTTCAACCTTGAAATGCTTCTGTTCTTACTGAATAGTCAGTCTTCTAAAAGTCCAAGCCACGGAAAATTCATCTTTTTGGTGTTGTCATTAGCTGGTTTACACAAGCACAATGAATACTTTGTCCTAAAGGTCTCCAAGGGAAGAATGAGTAACTGGCAGGGTATGTGTTAAGAGAAAGGAATATATAACTGGAGGGCACAGTATTGTAATTACAGCTGTGTGTTCGAGGAAAAAAGGTCTGTATGCAGCAGGTTTTGCACAGGCAGGTTATTTGCATATGGCTGTGTGAAGTTTACCGGTCCCATCCCTCTGAAGGAAAAGCTGTGATGATAATAACTGAAGTTTGCTAAGATCTTTTCTGTTACTCCGTGAAAAATAGTGCCTTTGATAGTGATGTGTGAACATTATAGAATTTTATTCCCAAACACATGCATATTTCCAGTGCCAAACTGTTGTCTTTCAGTATAGAAGGATATGAACTATTCCTAAGAAAAGTAACATTTGATTCAAACATCAGGTTTGAAGCAAACGCGTTCAGAAGATTTATTACCGGTCTGCTGCTACACAGCGGCAGCTCGAGGTTTGACATTGACTTTTGGCCGAGATTTCACTTGCCCCTTTTTCTCTTCAAGGGATGCCATTCATTTAGATCTCAGTTGCATACAAAACTAGACTGACTTCTCTATGCTTCTACATGGCTATTATACTTGGCCTTTTACCAGTCTAATCTGCATCTGACACCCTCATCCTGTACAGCAAAGAACTCCTGGAAACCTGCACTGTTGGGTCACTCTCCTCTTAACTACCATCACCTTTACAACTCCTTCCCATCTCCTCATTAATAAATCTAAATACAGATAGCTGTCCCAATAACGACGGCCTGTGCTAACCCACTTTTTACTACTATGGAGAGTACAGATCTTCAAAAAGTCGCACTCATCTTTAAGTAGGAGTAGATACTCGTCTAGGAAAAACTGTCCTTTTGTACATTTTTTTTCACAAAGTACAATAGTTTGTGTGGCTGAATGGTGCTCTCGCTATGTAATTCTTGTAATAAACCACTTACAATTGTAAATAATAAATATATGCCTAAAATACTTTAAATATGCATATAAAACATATACTGAAAATATTTAAAGCATTTTTTACTGTTTAAAAGAATAATCTTGTAAAAGCTCAGAATGCTGCAGAGGTGGAGGGGAGTTCCAGATTTTACCATACTTCACAACTCTGGCATGTCTTGGGTGCTTTGTCCAATTCTAATGGCTCTGCTAATTTTTTATATGCTTCCTTGTACCGGAGGCCCGCTTTTCAGTGCTGCTGGACACGCAATTGCACTGACATGCTCAGCACCTCTGAAAGACGTCACGAGTTTGACTCGAGATTGAAAACAGTAAAATGATTTTTTTATAAAGGTTGTTCTTGCTAGTATTTGTGTTTTCCTTTTCTGCCCAATGTAATTTTAAAATGTAAACTGCAAAGAAGTTTCTAAAAATGCTGAATATTACCCCAAGAAACTATCAGTCCTGTACAATGAGAAACCGATGCATCTTTTGCAACTCAATCAATACATAATATCCACTGAATGATATTTAATAAAATGTTTATCTCAGCAATAGCACACTATATGAGAAATACAGTGTTTTACAGAACAGATACATCAGATGGCATTTGTGCATTTAGTTTCAACTTTTCTCTAAATATAGATGTTTAAGTGAAAAACGTGCCAAGAACAAGCCAACTCTGGGCTCCCTTCTTTCCGTGCACAAGCTGCTAAAAGATGAGATAAACGAAGCTGGGTATCGTGAGCAGACAAGCAGTTGTACCTGGGTACCACACAAACACATTGTGAACCCCGCAACATGCAACACGGTTGTATGGATCGACACAAGCAATTCCTAGCGTATGGAGCTGTCTGTGTACACAGGATTTCAGCACACGTTTACTTGAGGCCAGCATGCACCTGTGTTTTCAGGAATAGCTACACACATTTAAGATTATCCAAAGGACGAAGCTGACCTGACCACTGCGGCCAGCAGGATTTCTGCCCTTGGCTTCATACAGTGAAGAAAGTGCCCGTGGGGTTTCAACTGCTATTTTTACACGTGCGCTTTGCTTTTCACCGCAGCCTGACTGCTCTGTGCTGAGCCAGTCCTGCATCACCCCTTCTGCCCCATGCACCCCTTCGCCTTCTCCCCCCTTCCTTCTGCCCCATGCACCCCTCAGCCTTCTTCCCTGCACAGCCCATCGCTGCTGCCCATCAGGGATGAGGTACCAACTGCCGGCAGCACTGCCTCTGCACCTGCCTCTTGCCTCGCTGCCAATTGCGGCCGCCTTCTCCTCATCCCCCTTTTCAGATCCCAGCAACGTCCTCTAGGACAGAAACCAATCATGCGTCACATTAACTTTATGAGGTATTAGTTACATTTAAGAATCAATTCCTTCTCCTCTACAAACAGTATTTCAGGAATTGCAGTTTGTCTGTAGATACTATTTTTTAACTTAAATATATATATATAAGGTGTAATAAATATTTTTATTTTTAAGCGAGAAGGGAGATTAGATTTGTGAAGTTGTTGATGTTTCTCCTTGGTTTGCGCCGTCTCCTTGTCCCGAGTGAGTCAAAAACTGTCCTGTAGCTCCAATGTACAACCTGGAACGCATCGGCCACTTCTGCAAGAGAAGAGACAAGCCCAGCTGAGATACTCAGTGTCTTTGCTGCCCAAATGCAGCTCTCAGCAAAGCTGGAATCACAATACAAGAAAATAGGAAAAGTTTCCTATCATCAGAAGGCTCCCCTTTTGTCAATTATTGGCAAATTGTCAATTGTTAGAAACTCGGTAAGGGAACCTCAGCCTGGATGTTTCCTCTGGTCATGAATCGCAAGGCTCAGCTCAGAAACCCCGCCGTGACCCAGGGGTGAGAGCAGGCTGGGCTGATCACCCAGCGTACCGCTATTTGTATAGTAAATGCTCTGTTGGTAAAAAAAACAACACATTTTTCTTCTCAGTGCCAGGGATACTGCGGGGCTACCCCCATGCCCGCCATGGCTACAGCCCTGTGCGTGTACCCATTCGTGCCGGCCAGCCCACACACAACCCGCCGCAGCACAGTGGTTGCCAAAAGCTGTGTTAAAGAGGGTTTAATATAATTGCGCCTTGGTGGTCTTCAGCACTGACAACTTCTTCATCAGCACCAAGGATTTCAGATAAGACAATTCATCTTTCTGTTCGGCAATTATCAGAATCATCTGTTACACTGGTATTAAATATTTATTCTTACAGCTCAAGTTTCTTAACCCGAGCAAGTTAGTTACTGCAGACGGCCCTGCAGTAAGGGTGGCCACAGCTGGGTGCTGCTCCTCCCTCAGGAGGAAGCATTCAGCTCCGGCTTGATGTGCCCAGTTCATTATTAGAGGTGGATGTTTGAAAAGACAACTTGTCGTAAAGTTTGGATGCAAAAATACCTGAAACACAGCCAGCTTGTTCCAAACGCGTCTGATTTTTTTTAAGACACTTTTGGAAACAGGTTGGCACCTTTCCGGTGAGTAACAAAAGGAAGCTCTAAAAACTAACTCTGGGGCCTAATGCTGCAGTTAGATCTCAGCTCTTCTATGTAAAGATGTAAAGCAGCAGCATATTCTCACTTGGAAAGACCATACGCTCTCCCTTCAGTATTTTTATTTCAAGTGATGTGAATTCATTGCCAATAAAACATCAGAGTTTAAAGTCATCAACTATATTTTTTGTTCAGTGTACACACAACTGTACTTGGATATTTTACTTTCCTCACTATTTGTATTTACTGTGCTTGATACATGAGTGTAGTTGAAGTCCTTATCTGTACTGGTTGTCTCACATCCTGCACTTTAGGGGTTTTTTTTGAAGCATGTACTGTGATTTTTCTGTGACACTTTTGTTCTAGTGCCAACTACAAAATTCATTTACTGCCAGGAATATTAGAAAGATTGGTTAGACTCCTAGAATTGTTGCAAAACTAAATACAGGTGACACATAAATAAGATTATAAAAAATAATTTCTAGATAAATCCAGTATTGCTGTATTCCAGTAGCCTGGGAAATGTGCATCTGGATCATTTAACTGCTGTAATAACTATTTAAAAGTGTTTTTCTGCCAGTAATAGTTGGCAGCTGATAAAAAGGACCATAAGAGACCTGTGTCCTTTCACTCTGACCAAGGGAACTAACAGAAGCTACTTAGAACTTATTTTGAAATATATCACAATATTTTTTTTCTTAAATTATAGCCATCTTCTAATTGATGTAAAGGTTTTGCTTTTTTAATGAGCCTGCTAATCATTTAAACGGCCTCAAAAGCCTACGTCCACATCATGCTTTTAACAGCGACCAACACTGAACAAGAAACTCTCTGTGAATTAGTCACTTTATAGGAATTAGAGATTACTTCACAAATTAATCTTAATTAAATCAGTCTGAATTCATCAGACTCCTAAAAAAAAAAAAAAAAAAAAAAGAAA